TTAGAGAATACTGGGGGGGGGGGTAGAGAGTGGGAGATGGGGGACTTCCGGCCTTTCGCTTCTGATTGTTGGTTTAGGCACTCCTCAAGCACCTTCCCTTTATTTCCGTCCTCGGCAGTATGACTATGTAGAAGCAAAGGTTTATTGCTGCTGGTTTTCCTAAAGGATCGGCTGTTTGCATCCGCGAGTTTTCGGACACCGCGGTTCCCTCCCTGCTCCAGAACCTGGTCTCGGCCCAGCTAGCTGCCAATTCCTGCAGCGAGGCAAGAGGCACCTACTTCCCTCCAGCTAGGGCAGGATCCCGGGCCTGGCCTAGTGTTTAAAAAGGGCTCCCGGGGCTTTTTTAGTGGGCGGCCAAAATAAAATCGCCTCTTTCTGCAGCAACGGTGGACTGAGAGACCCGGGGGCTGCGGTGCAGCTACCTCTGGAGCGCCCTGGACAGAAATCGTGGATTGCGTTCAGAGCTCTTTTATTTCAATAATTAAAAAACAAAAAACACCCTTCACTCTGATTTCTCTTGATTCCCAATCCGCTCTCCTTTCGGTATCGGTCAAACTCGGGAAGCCCAATATTACACCAGCCGTAAGGAAGGGCGTCAAGACCTTCTTAGATAAGCTCTTGAACAGAAGAGAGAGAGCGCTTCTCGGCCCTTTACTTTCTACCCTTCTTGCATCGGGGACGGGCTTTAAACATTTCAACTTCTAAGAAGTTGCCGGAGGACCTGAATAAACGTGGGAAATGGGAAAATGAGCCAGAGAAAGGAAGAATCTCTTGACCAAAGAAGCTTTGACTCTTGAAGTCCCCTGAAAATCTGGTTGGTCTCCAAGGGGCGATTGAACTCGAGCCTAGCTTGGGAGAGGCATCTTTCCAGTTTCTTTCTCCTTTCTCCGCGGACAGGTTTCGGAGTGGGGGGAAATCAGCCCGAGAGGGAAAATCAACTCCGCATTTTGATAGCTTTTGGCTGTGATTTTCTCTCTCTCATAAGACATTCTTTCCCCCGCCGAGATGACAGATTCCAAAAAGCCAAAATAAATAAAAAAATTTAAACCCACCCACAAAAAATTATATTGGGAGCTGGGGGGGGGAGGGGCGGGTTTCTCTGTTCCCACTCCTGGGTATTAGAGAATCTATCCCCAATAACACAGTCCCACAAAAGCAGTTAACAAAAACCGCTCAGTACCCTACCCCTACGTGTTTCTTCTTCGAAGGTGAGGCTGTACGCTGGTAGGGCTCGATCCACAAGACATTTAAATCGAAGGAGGATGAAGCCGATTAGACTTCCCTCCCTCTCTGCCTACCACCTTCGGGCCTTCCTGGACTGTGGCTAAAACTGTGGAATGAGCCGAAATGAATCCATCCAGCTTCTCTTATGATTTACCACACCGACTTTTTAAGAGCAACAAACGCTTCGGGTGTCCGATATCTTTGTCACAAACAACCTTTGTGTGATAATTTCGCGAGTCTGTTACAAAGGGTCGTTACCTTTCTTGCACTGAGCGCCACATCGGTCACATTCGATCTGTGATTGGTTGCAGGGACGAGCTTTATTAATTTGCAGCAGGAAAGAACGTTCAATTCAGGGTTCTTTCCTCCAGTCTTCCGGGAATCCTCCCGTCCTATCAAAAGAAAAAGAAAAAAAGAACCCCATTAATCAGGTCAGAAGCCCCCCCATACAGATATCTCAGTTTTGGGATCATTCCCGGAATTATTGCTATATCCCGGGGAAAGAGGGGAGGGGGGTGGATTTTTTTTTAATAAGCAAATGGCCTACTTAAAAAAAAATACCCTCGGGGGAAAATAGTTCTACAAAGCTATACTTATGAGTTTACACGTTTCAAGAGCCTGTATAAACCACGCATTATTTATTCATCTCTTTTGGTCAAACTGGATAGAATCAGCTTGGCAATTAAGAGGCTCATAACGAGCGTAATTTAGTAGACGGCTCCGGCTGTATTTACCAAAACAGGGCCTTCGATATTTATAAAAGCGCCGGCAAATATGAGCCAAAAATTTATTGCCTTCCGACTGATAATCTAATGGCCATAAACAATGAACGATTCTAGATTCTTATTTACAACCCTGAGGGTGAAATTTACAAACAATGGCGTCGCCTGCCCAAAAGCTGACTAGTCCACTTGTGCACGTGCAAGACAAAAGCAGTTCTGTCTCTGTTGTATCTTTATTAAAGTGGATTGTACTTTTTTTTGGGGGGGGTAAACCGCTTATTATTATTGACGATGCACTCAAATGACTGATAATTGATAATGAGAGCAGTAAAGACGGGCTGAAAATTCATGTTGACTTAGAAAGAAACCTCCTGCCTGGAGGTTAGTGGGACCTTGCTCCCAAGTAAGTGTGCGTAGGATTTCTGTCTGTCTGTTTAGATCCACGGCAGCCTGCTCTGGCCGGATCTGGCATTATTTCTTTCATCATGATTATTATGATTGCCTTGTCGAATTTATTTTTCATTGATTATTTTTGTTTTTAAAAATGATTTATTTCCTGGTGTTTTGTCCTTTCCCCTCTTGCAGCAGTCTGAGGTCTACTCTCACTCTTTAGGCCACGGAGAGAAAAGGCTTAAGGGCAGGACTGGCTGGCCTCAGCAGGTCTGGGCGCTGGAACTGAACCAATGAAACCGGGAGAGAACGAACCCGACACACACACACACACACGCACACACACACACACACGCCCCACAGAACAGATCCCCTCCGAAGAAGAAAGGGTTTTCCTTTTATTTCGTCTGCGGATCCGCTCGCTCTCTCCTGCAGCCTCAGAGCAGCGTGGGGGCCGCCCTCCGTGGAGGATCTTGTGCAATGTGGAGGCTGCAGACTGGGGCTGTTGGACCGGAGGATGTTGCACGCCTTGAAGCCGAGAGGGAGGCAGCGGAGGGAAGGGAGAGTCTCTGCCTGAGCTCCGCGAAGCCGGGGAGGACGCCAAACGCTCTCCACACCCTGATCCCGACAGCCCGCTCCCTTGGCAGGAAGCTCCTAGGAAACCGAAGGGATTTTGAATGTGTTTAAGGAATCAGGGTGTCACTGACTGAGGTGTACAGACTGCGCGGCATTTGTGTCCCGCCTGGAAATCTTCTCGTATTGCACAAAGGCTTGGAGGTCGTTGGGACCGAGGCACCGATGCTGAGCGCGGGGTTTGGAAGGGGAGCCCGCCGAGCTCCGTGGGCCTGGCTTTCCGGCGCTACCTTCGAGATCTACGGAGTTGAGTCCGCTTCGCCTCTTCCGACGGAGACCAGCTTCCCCAGGACCCCTCTAGGCGCATCGGCTCGGGAGAGAAGTCCCGCTGGTTTCCCGCGTAATTTACATCTCCGTAAGAGTGTGGCTCTAAGCGTCTGGCGCTGGCGTCTCTTGCACTCTCGTTGAACATCGACGTCGCCATGCTGATCTCTTATGGAGTCCCTCCTTCCAGCGCTCGATCCCCAGTCCAATTTCTTAGTCCCACTGAGAGCAATGGTAGAGCTTTTCGGCAGCAATGACGATTACAGCCTTAGCTGGGTGTAAATTAGATCCCATCTCTGAGCACGGCCCAACCTAAATTCCTTTTCCTATGGATTTCAGAGTTAAAGTACGTGCCTTGCTCCCTCCGACTGAAATCAAGGCCGGATCGGTTCCGTTTCAGCAGGACCCCAAGACTCTTAACCCCCCCCCCTCCCTATTTGTAGCAGTGGGCTCCTTGCTTGGGTATAAAACTAGCCTCATTCGCGGCTCAGTTCGAAGGCTGACAAGGTTGTGGATCAGGACTAGAAGACACGGGGAGTTTTGCCTGGCCTATTCAGCCCGGCCTCGTAGCTTTCTTGGTTTCCTCCACGCCAAGATTTTAGACAGATGTTTAAAGCATGGTTCACGCCAAAAGGGCAGAATCCTGAATCGGGATCAGCGGGTCGGCAAGGCATAGTTACCAAGGCCTGGGGTCCCATTTTGACCGTGATAGGTGAAGTTCTGAAAATGCACTCAAAGAGGAAGAGGTTGGGTTGGGTGCTCGTGAACTTTGAATAGTTTTATTTCCCGTTCATTTATTTTCTCCAGCAGTTTTGGGGATGGCTTCTGCAGCTCCCTCGGGGAAAGATATTGGTGTGGTCCTGCCAAGGTTAAGTATTTTTTTTAATGCATTGATTTCAACCAGAGAGGTAAGCCCGTGCTTAAAGTTGCTCCTTGAAATCAGCGGGACTAAAGCCGCATCACTGAGGCTGGGTCAAGCCTGGTATTGTTTGTTTTCATGTAAATAAACACAACACATCAGTGTCTTCCTTTTCGGACTGAATTCCCTTCCCTTCCCTTCCCTCCCCCACCCTTCCATTCCCAAATGTTGTTGAATTTTTTTTTAATGTATTTAAACTACCTAAGTGGGTGCATTTGATACATTTCCTATACTGGGTTTTCTACCTCAAATCTGTATGACCACTTGCTAAGAGAACAGGTTTGCCAAGCCAAATATTTATGTGGATTAAAAATAATAATAATAATAATAATAAATAAATAAAAGCTTTATGAAAATGGAGTCTCTCTCTTTCCCCTTTCCCTCAATCAAATAGAATCTTTGTAGCTAGAGTTGGGTGCAAAAATCTGTTTGTCTTCCTGTTTCACAAGAATGGGACCTCCAAGGGAAGCTGCTTAGATCCAAGCACCAGGAACATACCCAAAGCCAAAGCCACAACTGAGTTAGAAAGGCAAACTGTTAAGCACCACTGATTTCAATATTGGGACTGGAAAAGTCTGTGTTTTGTCTATTTCATCGAAAGGTATCATCTTGAGCAGCCTCTGTTAAAATTACTAGCTACTGGTGCTATATTCTAAATATGCATTAGTACTACAGAGAAGAATTGTGGTTGCTGTTGCAGACGTGATAGTGTAGCAGTAGAAGACAGACACTTTCCACCTTCACAACCCTCTTAAAGGCTAATATGGGCTTTAAATATGGTTTTATTCTGAATGTAAGCTCTCCTTTGTATGTAAATCTCATTGAAGATGACAGAACTTATTTTAGATAAATATGGAGCATGATCCACCCACCATTAAATACACACAGAACACATGCTTAAGTATTTCCCATTAAAGAACAGATAGATTTCAGTGTGTGAGATGCAATAATGTTTAATGTTCCAATCAGAATCATTTAGAATTTTATGTACTATCACTTAGTATTATAAGTAATTCTGCAAGCATTATTGTAACTATTTTTACCTATCACACTCTCATCCATGGACATTTATGAACCAGTATGTGTGTGTGTGTGCGTGTGTGTGCGCGCACATGTGCATGCACACTTTTGCATCCCATTGATTTCAATAGAAGAAGCTGAAACCTATACCTTTGCCATCAGTTGGACTTATTTATTTATTTAAAACATTTGCCTTTTCCCCAAGGTGGCAAACAATGAAATACAGTAAAACAAGCTCAGAAATACATACATACATGAATACTACATGCAATGCTCCCTCTAAGCTGTGGAGTCTTGTGAGCAAAAATTCTACTTTGTGAGCTACTGCGATTAAAGTTGTGAGTGAGCGATTTGGCTGCTGCATAAATTAGTTTGCTCTGGAGTCATCCTTCCTGAGCTAAGAGAAAAATGTGTGAGCCGGAGGCTAAAAAACTGTGAGCTAGCTCACACTAACTCAGCTTAGAGGAAACACTGACTACATGCATGTGTTTTTGTAACAAACAAAGCAAAACACATGGACACATAAATGCAGGAACAGGAAGGAGGGTCAGTGAGGGAATTTCAAACAAAACAGAAATGTCTTCCCCCACTGACAGAGAACAATGACAGAAGGGGACAGATGAATCTCCCTGGGGAGGGAATTCTGTTGTTTTGGTGCCATGATTATCAAAGTTACCACCATCTAGCTTCAGATACCAGGACTGCACAAAGTGCTTAATTAAAACAACAACAACCCATATATATGTTTAGGGAAGGCGGCATAACCTGATCTCATCAACCTTTGGAAGCTAAGCAGGGTCCTGTACTTGGATGCGAGACCACCAAGGAAGACTCTGCAGAGGAAGGCAATGGAAGACCCCCTCTGCTTCTCACTTGCCTTGAAAGCCTCCTTGCTAGGGTCACCGTAAGTCAGCTGTGACTTGATGGCACTTCACACACACACATACACCTGTATGCTTAATCTGTTTAGTGTTGCTCAGTGTATTGCTTGCCAATTTGTTGTACACAATCAGCACACACACATCACAGGCGGCTAGAGTTGCAACTCCATGGTATGTAAAAAGTATGTGCTCCCACATAGTAGTATTTATATATCACTCTAAGCATAATCACTAATGGGTGTCTGCATAGGTTTGCATAGCTGTATATGGAAGAAAACACTAACGTAAGAAGATAAGAAGATAAAAGAAGCCAATCTTGGATCAGGCCAATGGCCCATCCAGTCCAACACTCTGTCACACAATGGCCAAAAATACCAGGTGCCATCAGGAGGTCCAGCAGTGGGGCCAGGACACCAGAAGCCTTCCTACTGTTGCCCCCCCCCCCCAGGCACCAAGAATACAGTGCATCACTTGACCCCAGACTGAGAGTTCCTACCTTGTGGCTAATAGCCACTGATGGACTTCTGCTCCATATGTTTATCTAATCCCCTCTTGAAGCCGTCCATGCTTGTAGCCACCTCCTCCTCCTGTGGCAGTGAATTCCATGTGTTAATCACTCTTTGGGTGAAGAAGTACTTCCTTTTATCTGTTCTAACCTCCTCCTCCTCCTCCTATTAATACTACTACTACTCAGAACCCCAAGAATTCATCATCTCTGAGTTTTACCTGGGGGAGGGGGCTCCCTAAGAATTAATGCAGCAAGCCAAACCCTTCCTGATGGTTCTAAATAAAAGGTCAGCACAGTACAATACTTTGCCTCATCTTGAAGTTGCACTACCCACCACAGAAAATATCAAAAAGCATGGCAGTATCTAAGGAGGAAAACTTCTCCAAAATAACTGTTGTACTATGAGCATCCGATTAGCAAGGCCTCCAGTACTATGACTTTCCTCCTTCAAGAGCTGTTAGGCACTTACCAGGAACAGGTGCAATAGGGCACCATGATTAAGAAGGTGGAAGTTTGCATTGTGTTCCATAGACATGGCAAATTTACAGACACACATTTTAGTTCCTTTTTCCAATGGGAAACTTAGGAGCAGTCTCCTTTCTGCTAATGCTACTACTTCCCTGGTATGATGTCAAGCCATCTGCAATAATTAAGTCTGATCTAGATGGCACTGACTGCCTTGATGCAAAGATATGAGATTGATAAATATTATCTAGCAGCCTGCTCACCAGTAGCGTTGCAAGGGCTTGTCAACATTGTGTTTCATATGAGACTTGCTTCACAATGCAACACACCAGAAAAATGCAAGTCAAACCTCATGGCTTCAGAAGAGTTGCTTCAGGAAGCTCAGTAAGAGCAAAATCAAGGCCCGGTAGACTGGCCAAGAAAGACATGCTCCCTTTGATTTCTTTCCATAATGCCGTGAGCCTGAAGGCCTCTTGGCAGATCATCTGCCTTCAGAAAGTCTGACCTCATGGAAGAACAAGAGCTTAGAGAATGCTGCTTGATAAAAGGCAGGCATGTGTATATTACATTACAAGCAGATAGACAGAAGAACCCAGTGGTGGAAAGA